GTAAACGGTGCTGTCGGTTGGCGTTTGCGTTGTTTTTTCTCTAAACGTGTTACCGTTACTTTGCCATTGGCCTCATGCAATAACTGTGTTTTAGCAGCCGTCGCGTCTGTTTCATTATTAAGGTCAAACTGCTTTAACGCCTTGCCTTTATAGGTATGTAGTTTAGGTGAGAAATGCTCATTATCTTTATCAACGTCTCCGTGGATACTCCAATATTCCTGTGGAATAAAGGCTTCAATTTCCTCCTCACGCTCGACAATCATCCGCAAAGCCGGGCTTTGTACTCGCCCCGCCGATAAACCAGGTTTAATTTTTTTCCATAACAGCGGTGATAAGTTAAAACCCACCAAATAATCCAAGGCGCGCCGCGCTTGTTGCGCATCTACCATAGACATAGAAAGTCCACGGGGATTTGCTACTGCTTCTCTTACGGTATTTTCTGTTATTTCGTGAAACACCACTCGTTGAACATTTTTCCCCTCCAACGCGCCACGCTCGCGCAATAACTCCTGCAAATGCCAAGAAATTGCTTCTCCCTCACGATCCGGATCGGTTGCGAGATAAAGGTTGTCGGCTTTCTTCAACGCCTTGATTATTTTATCAACGTGCTTCTTGTTGCGATCGATTATTTCATACTTCATCGCAAAATCATTATCCGTATCTATCGCCCCCGTCTTCGGTACGAGATCACGCACATGACCATATGAGGCTAAAACCTGAAAGCCTTTCCCCAAATATTTTTCAATTGTTTTCCCCTTCGCGGGAGACTCTACAATAACGAGACTTTCACTCATATTTTTTATCTTTATGTTTTATTTGAATAAATATCTAAATACTAGCGTACCAATAGTAGCTAACACTCACCACAATGTCGTGAATTTTTGTCGCAACCATACACTGTAAAAGGAAGTGTAGTAAAGTAAATCCCTTTCTCTCCTCATATTTATTCAACAGTTGCAGCCTAATCAAACAATAAAAATAGAGTAATGCTCTAATAAGCTCCCAGTCCTAGGCAAAGAAATTCACCAGATATAATGTTCGGTAGGTACTATAATTTAACCATCAGACATAAGCACAGGTACAAGAAAATGAGAGGTATATAATTCATCTTACTTACTATCTTTTTGGGTGGCTGCAATACCGTAAAACCAGACACAAACGCAGTTCCTGTAGCCCTTTATCAACAATGGTTGCATTCACAGGAAGAGCAAAG